CTGAGGCGGAATAGTGGGTTTCAGGCTGAAATCTCCAAAAATATTGAAACATATATTTTTTATTGGTCCTAATTTGTTTCTGTGAATGATCTGAGCTTAATATGTTCTCTTTTTTAAATTATAAAGCATGCAAATTTACTATACATAAACATATGTCCAGAAAACATCTAAAAAAGCATTCTTAAAATGATTACTGGTCCTATAATGACTACTTTTCTTAAACTGGATAAGGACATCATAAACTTCATTTCATATATATTTTTTTCTTCCAGAATAATTACTGTTATAGAATGTAAAAAAAAGCTAAACGCTGCAAAAACTCAAGCCATTGTCATTGGTTCCAAACCCCTTCTCAGATCCAATACCAACATTCCTATCCTGTACCTAAATGACCATCCCATCCACCTTTACCTCCTCAGTAAAAAACCTAGACATTTTCATAGACAAAACCCTCTCCTGGAAACACTCTATTGCTCACATCTCCCGACGATCAATGATACCTTGAAACTGTTCCATCACTTACTCTATCTCCTACCCATTCCCTCACGTAGACTCTTAGTATCTTCCCTCACCTTGATTATGGCTGCATGGTGTACGGTGGCCTCTCGGTAGAACTCGGGGAGACTGAAAAAAAATTATGAATGCCTTCGTAAGATTTGTCACCAGGACCCTGAGACGTTGCTGTTTCACACCACTATGCTGAATTAGGATGGTTCTTCCCCTCCTTCCAAAGACAATATTTCCTTGGTACATTCCTTTACCAAATAAGCAACAATCATCGTTCGTCTTAAGCATACAATTCTTATCGTCTATCCACAAGATCTCATCCCTCTGACCCTTACATCCCTTTCCACTGATCTGCCTCATTTAAATATTTCTTTGTTCTCCATCCCACTAAAAATCCATCATGCATCATCCTTATCCACATTGAAAACCCTCTTATTCCAATTTCTCTTCACAATTCAATCAGACGCTGGTGTGAATTTCCATCACCACTCACAAAGCCTTGTGAAAATTTGTGAGTAGGTAAAATTTTTTTTTTCTTAACTTTTACTTTTTCTATTCATGATGTTATTTCTTTAAAATGTATTTTATTTTCTACTTATCTTCGACACACTCCTCTCTGTGTGTATATATACTTTATTTTCTTCTCCTAATCTTTACATCTATTCACTTAAAAATCTTAGGGAACATATGTAAATAATCATTTATTTAGCGTTCCTTTCTAATTTAATTTAGTGATTATTATGTTATTGTTTTAATAAATAACATTTAACATGTTAATTTCTATGTAAATTTATTTACTTCTTAGTTATTGATTTTTTATATTATAAAAAAAAAAATCATTTTCATTTTTCTTCTAAATATTCAATATTTATACTTCTATTATTAAAAATTTCCTAAGATATCCTTTAATAAATAAGCAATTAATTATTAATAGTATTGTTTTGACTATTAGTGTTATGAAGTTTGAAAGAACTTATTCATTCTGCTTCGGTAGCACTGGTATAAATATATTGTAATCAGAAGAATCAATTAATTATTAATAGTTTTACCAAGTAATTACTTCCTACTGCTCTTTTGATCATTAATTATTTCTGGAGAATTATCATTTTGTACTTACATAAAGTTGATTTTCGTCTATATTTCTGTTGTCATTAAATGAAATATTTTAAAGTTGATTTAATTATCATGTTTTGAAAATATTCAAAGATGAAAAATGGTTGTGCCATAAAGTTATGTTTATGCACATCCTGACTGTTTTTCATCCTTACAAATTCAACAGTAATCATGTATCCATCTCTAAATTATAAAAGTGTTTAAGTGTGATACAATTAATAAACATACCAAAAATCATTACATTTAAAACATTTTTTTGCTTATATCTGGTAGAAAATTCTTTTATACTATTGTTATAGGTGGATGTGGCGCCATGTATGAAATATTTGTTGAAGCACCCCAGTTTAAGGGACTTACAATTGTTAAACAACATAGACTTATTACTGAGGTACTTTAAAATTACATCTGTTTTTATTTCTGTAAGCATTAATATTTTAAATTGTTTTAATGGGCAGACGTATCATGTCATATGGCATGTGGGTACATTATCTTTCATTCATAAACATATTACATTGCAATTATTAATTCACTTTCAGTAGGAAAGTCGAGTCTAACAAAGGTAAATTTAATTTGTGCTTTCCATTGTTCAGTCTCAAGGGTCAGGAGACGAAGTACTCAGTCTCTGTTAAGTAGTTATCTAAGTCTTCAACAATTTGAGGGAAAATGTAGCGAAGATTGATCATGGATGCCGACACCACTCACCTTATATCAATGTTGATCTGAAAATCTTAGCAAGATTAGACACAAAAATCTTCATGGGATATTAATTTTTTTGGAATATGCCAATAGGCTAATTAATTCCTGCCAAAATGCTGGAGTTTAAAGCTTTTTTTTTTTTTTAAGTTTCTTATTAGAGTACTGGATTTGAGACTCAGATGGTTTGACATTTTCTTCAAATGTCAAAATCTTTAGAATTATCTTAAAATTTACATCCTTCGAACAGAATCAAACAATTTCTTGTAGTGCATATTCTGTACATTTTGAGAATTTTATTTTTATACATTTTCATTAGTAAATTGACATTTTATCCTCTAAAAAAATTCTAATAATAGCTTTTTAAAAATGGACTGATCAAATCGCCGAGGACCTAAGAATGGTCATACTTCCAGCAGATCTGCAAAAATGTCTTTTATTTTTTCAATCTTAACTAATGCAATTGCTGAATACTAGAGTTAGTTGTTCCAATCCTGGTTATATTAGAAGAAAGAAATTACATTAAATAATTAGATTTAATTATTCTTAAAAAGATAGGCTAAGATCAAATTATTATTGTGATTATCTAAGATTATTAACACAAAAAAGGTGCTCAATTTGACACCTTGGTTTTTAATATTTGTTTCAGCTATAAATAAATGTGTTTATAAATAAAGCTAGTCTGCTGTTGGTTTAGTATATGTCATTGAGATATGTTTATACATTCTTGTAGTTATTAAAGAACAGCCTAAGTATTAATGAATCAGTGTTAAGATGTTTTCAGTTAGAACTCCACAGCTTAGAAGACTACATTCTATTAAACAATAAACAAACATAGTTAATAGGTATCTTTTTTTCTTGATCCTGGAACAGGATTTCTCATATTTAATTTAATATTTTTATGGTTCTTGTATATTTCAGAGTACACAAGATTGAAATATAATTTTGAAAAATCAATGTATTTAAAATCTAATGAAATTAATGTTTTCCAAACAAACATTGGTTGATCAAAACATTTAATACCTCAAAATGTTTTATTAGACTTCCTCTTGAATATTTCAGTTTTAATTTTTTGTATTTTTATTATTCAGGCATTGAAGGAGGAAATAAAAGACATGCATGGCCTACGAATTCATACCACACCAGCATGATGATGATGGCTTCTCTAGGAAAGTGAGAAAATTGGAAGGAAAGTTATAAGTGGTTTTAGTTAATTATGTGTATACTAGTCTTAACAATGAAGTGAATAAAGAAGGTTTTATTGTACCACTTTTGTAAGCTATTTTTGACTGTAGCTTTGTAGTGATTTTTTTTCTTTCTTTTTAAAATCCTTGAAATCACACAACTCACTAAAAATCTATCCTCAATATCAAAACATGATGCATTTACAGAAATTATGATAACAAAACAGGTATACAAATTCATCAGGCACTAAATTGTAAATCTGTATTCTTTAAATACCTATATATTATAATCCATAATATGTACATTATTTTGATATATATATATAAATATATATATATCACTCTTCAGTTCAGCAAGATATTCAGCGGTAAACACGTTTGAATCCTGTTAATTTTTAAACAAGAATTTAATTAAAATATTTTCAGTATACCTACAATTTTTCTTTTTAGACAACTATACAATCTTGAAATCCACATTCAACAAATAGACATATTGTGTTTTTTTTTGTTTATATTATTATTATTTTTTAATTCTACCACAGTTGGCCACCAATTTTCCTATACAAATCAAGCATTTATGCAACATCAGAATCACTTTGGAGAATGGTCTCTCAAAACTATAAAAATTAACTTGAAAAATGGCAAACATCTAACTGCATAAACCCTGAGACACTTTAAAAATCAATTTATTATAAACACTACATCTAAATCAGTTTTAGTTTTAAAAAATAAGTCATTATAACACATGTGGATATTTTTAAATCATCTTATTTACATTTATATTTTCAATATTTATTCAGACATATATAAAGCATTTGCACAAGTAAATACCAATTAATTTTTAGATAAACGTACTAACTGTGGGGAAATAATTGTAAAAATAAAAACATAATAACCGATATTGAATGCTCTAAAACTGAAATTCAATATCATGTTGTCGAAATATCGGAAAAATTAAAAAGTCCATTTTAGAACACAGAGTATTAAAACAATTGATAAAATTAACATATTTCTAGACAGAGTCAGCACATATTTTTTTCTTTTTAATTTTTTTTTTCATTTTAACTAGTCCGTACATTCGATACGTGGCATGTAAATATATTATATTTATATTTATATATAATATAGCTAAATAAATACATGTACCTAAACACGGTACTTTATAAATCATAACCACAGTATCGATGGAATTAATAATATTGTCTTTATATATATATTTATATATATAAATATTAACATTATTTTCAAAAGTAATTAGAGTTTCCTAATTAAGAGTGTATATATCCACAAGACCTAAAATCACAAGTGTCATATCTATTAAGTATCTTATTTATATCGTATAATTATGCACTTTCATAATTTCTTAATATCACACTCTTTCCACTTATTTAGTTCACTTTACACAAGTCGAATCGGGGGGGAAGGGGACTTAGGAGGGTGTGATTCCGCGGGCTTTGTACAATGTTATGGGAATACGCAAGTTGGAGAGCTGTACACTGTAGACTACGAGGCTGCAGCCTCTGGAGCAGGGGACTGGCTCCGAGAGACATGGAACAAGACCATTGATATGACAGATGCCACCTGCTGGTCGAGGATCTGGGACATGACGAGTGCCAGCAGGCGTTGTTCTTGCTGCAGGAAGAGGGTCCTGTTTTCAGGGTGTTGTGACAGGTGAAGGAGTGTCCGTGCTGCTCGCCTCAGCATGTCCAAACTGGTACCCATGCAGTCGGGATTATCTCGAAGCGCTGAGAGCCCGTGTGTGTTTGCCACTCCTAATGCTTTAGTTTCTGCTTCCTCTATAAAAGCTACTAGCTGAGATACACAAGCAGGTTGAAGAGCAATAGTGCGTGCCATCCCGCTATCTGCTGCACCCAAGTAGTAGAGTAGATTGACGGCGAATTCTCGTAACACCTGTCAAACAAAACATTTTTATGTTATTCAAATTATCTCGCAGATAACTGTTCTACACAATAAATTGTAGTATTTAAAATACACTATTAAATTTGTTTTGGGACTACATATATTTATTATAATTTAATTGGGAATAGAAATAAAAGTGGTTTATTGACAACTTAGTCCCCATATATAATTGATATTTAAAATTATTGTAAAAAATAAAAAACAGGTATAAGATTTAATTAACAGAATTATTAGGTTGTATATATTTAAGTTAATAATATTTTAGGCAGAAATAAGTACATTTTCTATTCTTAGACAAGCCTTAAGATCTTTTTGGATAACTGTCCAGATTATTTACTGAATTTATGAAAACTCAAAATCATAATATTAATCACACACTAATTTCAACTTGATAAAAGTAATCACTTCATTGTCCTTATTGCATTTATTGAACAACTACAGAATATGCTTCTAAAACATGCAATATAATATAATTGTACACCACTGAACCAAAACAAAGACTAGAAACTCCAGATATTAAATGCAAATATGATCCACAAATTTAGATAAATCCACAAATAAATAAATAATATAATATAATAAATTGTAAACAACATATAGCTTCAACCACTTTTACACAAACATCTGAAATTAAAAATAAACAAAACATAGAATATGTCTTTGCACATTTATTTTTTATACACAGGCTCATTAAGTTATCCTAGATGGCTTAGTGGGAGATTCATTTTTAAAAGTAAAGTTTAAACTTTCACAACAATGGAAGGGCCAAGAGATAATAGAGTAAGCCAGTTTTGCTGTTTGTTAAGAAAGTGAAAGTTTTATAAATATTTTAGACATGGCAAGTAGTTGACCAGGCCATCGTTTCGAAGTCGAGACAAGAACCCAATTCAGAAAGCAGTTCTTGTCTTAACTATCAAACGATAGCCCTGATGACCCACATGCTTGGGTCAAAATGTCGGCTAGCTCATAGAAATTTTGACTGAAATTCCTGACAATTTTGTTTCTTTTTCATAAATATACTTTATTGATATATGTATAAAATACATAAATTATCTACTGTAATTCTAAACCCCTCAATTAGCAAAGAATAAATAAAACGTTTTATATATTGTCATTTTCCCCTCACATCAGAATTAGCACAAATTTTGTATGTATATTCTATGGATATTTTGCAAAAACATACTCTACAATTTTAATTACAAAACAAAACAACAAATTCTTTTTTTTTTTATAACATCCTAAGATCATATGTATCATACGTTGTTCCATGCAGAGACAAACAAAATATTTACGAATATTTGACTAACCGACAGTAAATGTCTAATATAAAAAAAATCCTATACTGTATAGATTTAAAGCAATTCAGGAATTTAAAATCTTAAATTTTCTAAGTAAGATCTATAATTCTGTACGAACAATGGAAAATCTGGGTTACGTACAGATTGTATTTTAGAGCAGGAATTTCCATCATCTTCATTCTTGGATTCCAATGATAGCATTGATAAAAAAAGTGAGATTTACTTTCATTTTAAAAGGATAAAACCCATTAAATATTTACACTTTTTAGCAACATGAATAGCACAGTTCCTACTTTTATTATTTTATCATGCACTCAAATTAAAAAAAAAAAATATTCCCTTATAGGTAAGCATATTCGTAACATTATAAGAGAAAATTATAAAAAAAACAAAAAAAAAACAGAAAATGTATCTGTTAAAGAATAGTTTATATTCTATGAATTACTGAAATATAATTTGATTTATTCTGGTTGTGACAAAAACAATTTAAGTTTAGTTGTGATTAATTAATTAATATCTGTATTATCATGATTGTTTCAATTTAATAATATTAATTCAAGAATAATCTAAAATATTCCCTTACTTTTTAACATAGTAATTAAATGGTAAATTACAATTCATTTGTTATACAATATAACTATTAATGAGAATATAAGTATAGTCAAATCTCGAGAAAACAAATTTCATGGGAATAATGAATAAATTTTAGTAAGATGTCACTTGAATAAATTGCCTGATTCTCATATTTCTAATAAATCTACACTCCAACCAATAGCAAGTAATTTCGACACTTTTTTTCTCTTTTCGCCTATCTAACATTATGTTGTGTTAAGATACAATTTTTAATAACAGCCCATTACAGAAAGGATGAAATGCTGAACTTTTCCCTCACTTACAGTATACAGATCTGATGTTTAGTTTCTGAGATATTTTAAAACATTTCGAAATCCTTCAATTAGTCGACTCCATCCAGCTGACTTTATCCGAGCGTTACTTACCACAAAACGTGCCTAAAGAAGTTTTCACTTCCATAAATAAATAATTTCAATATTTGAAAATAAATTCCATCTCCTAGGTAATAAAAGCATTCTTAACTAAAGTAAATATATTAATTACATTAATATATTATAATAGTAACCCTAATATATAAAAGTTGAATAAGACCAAGTTAGATATATGTATTATGTATGTGTACAATTTTAATTCTTTTGGTGTAAAAAGTATGTTAGTTATTTTTTTTATTTTTAAAATAAATTACCATTCTGAGAAGTTCCCTCTTTAACAAATGCAACTTTGATAATCAATTAAAAAGAAGATGGATGAAAAGTGATGGCTCTATGAACGATTTTTTAACAAAACTTATTTCAAAATGTTTCATGAAGTACCAAACATTCTTCCCAAGATTTTAATATCAATAATGGAAAGCTAAGTAAACCTTAAACACTTTGAAAAAACAAGAGTAAGGAAAAATAGAATGCTAACATAATGGGGAAGCAATGATGATAATAAGCTTTCTACTTAATCTAGATTTTATCAGCATAGGAGAAAGGATAGTGTCAATGGAATTAAAAGCTCTCATGTGGTGTGAGTAAAATAAAATTTGTAGTCAGATAGGACAGTTGCTGAATTTAGTCCAGCTAGATCGTTCATGCCCCTATTGTGTTGTGAATGTTAAATAACTAACCCCTACAGGAAGAGGTGATTTGAGAGACACATCGTGACACGTTTCAGCACCTTTGATCTAACATGGTTAGACGACTAAATTCAAGCATTAGAAGTATAAGTAAACAACTTATGAGCTAAACATGATTGAAAGAAAGTTAAAACAAATCAAATTGGAATATTTCATAAGGTTTCAGCATAATCTCTGTCTACAAGGGCCTCCTTTAAGTTGTTTGCCTTGCCTAGAAATTGTTTCATTCCTCCACTTGAAGAAGTTAAAGTATCTTGAAATTTATGTTATGGACTATTTTTCCTCCTCGATTGAAGGAGGATTTAAAAGAAAAACAATTTTGCACTAAAATAATTTGATTTATCGAGAGTTGACTGTAGTTAAAAAGAAATTAATAAATGATTCAGCATGCAATACCTACATGACAGTTTAAAAAAGTGGTACTAAAATCAAAGCAAATTATCGAATCAAAACTTTTAATTGAATGTCAATTTATTATATTTCACCAGTCCAAAGGCAAAAACCATGAATGTATAAATTATTAATTTTGAGAAAACATAGTTTGAAGTCTCCTTTGGCTTTTGAAAATTAAATATATCACATTCGCAGTTTTTTGGTAACACAAATGACCTGTAGATTTTCTTTTTCTTATTCAACATTTCACCTGAAGAAACTTAGCATACAAATGATTTTAAGCCTTAGACATAAGTTAAATTAGATTGACATTATTTCACATTCGTGGTTTAGCCTCTGATACTGTAGTACCAAAGTTTACACTTATGTTCACAGCAAAGAATTGATAATCAACTGCATAAGCTAATTAATAAGAGTATTATATTATCTTAAACCAGCTTAGTATATTAACCAGTTCAGCAATGGTTTGAAACTTTATTATATACCAAGTATGAACTAAATTTAAAATAAAATGAATTCCCTTGATAGAAATTCATTTAGTATGGGATCGGAAAATATTATAACAAATAATATAATTAATAACATATTATTCTAGTATGACCTAGCAATCTGAATAAGTTAATATCATCAATTCTGTATAGTGAGGAATATACCTACTAACCATCCGAGAAATACTAACTTAAAAACCAAAAACAGTAGCCAAAATGTAAAATTAGAAATAATTTGGGAAGAACTATCTAAAATATCAACAAAAAAATAAGCCTGCATAGAGAAACTGTGGCAACTATATGATAAATATAGGTGATAAAGCAAATGTTTAAAAATTGACTGTTGTCTAATATTTCCCATTTGATCTGATAAAAATTATGAAACTGTAATATAAAAGTGATTATTTTTCAATATTTATAAATATACTTTTCATATATGGATGGTTAAATTACTAAGCCTCTGCAGTAAAGTAACACATTAGCATTTTCATAAATAAAACAGTGATAATATAAAAATGACATACCTGCTCTTCACTTCTGCATAGTAGCCTCGTGAGTACTCCAGCTAGCCTTTCTAGCCTACAGTAAGGAGGGGTAGCGATTACAAGATCCACATTGGAGTCGGTAACACACAACTTGCAGAGAGCTTCAAGAGCCAAACGCTGAGGTGACAACGAGCTGGTGGGCGAAACCGTAGGGAATGGGTCCTGCCCTTGGGCAGCAGGGCACACTGCCCAGTGCAACAGCCCATCCAGTATAGGACGTGAAATATCTTCTGGATAGAGGCCGAGATCGACATGACCCGCTATGTTGGCTATACTGACTAGAGCGTTCTCTCTTAAGTGATGGAGGAATTCCCACCACCAATCAGAGTCAGCCTGTAGGCTGGAACATGAGTCTGCAAAGTCTGTGTCCTCTTCCCGGTCATAATTTCTTTGTTTTGCTATCCTTGGAGGATGCTCATGATGCAAAAGTAATAATTTTCCCAGCAAACCGAGAAAAGTGCCACTTTTAGCAAATTCTATTTCATTACCAGGTACAAAAGTTAAATTCCTAAGAATGGTAGATATACAAACACATCGCCTAGCTATAGCATCCTGGGTTTCAGTAACTAGATATAAACTCGCCTCATCTCTGGTGTAACATTCATCTTCATAGTCTGATATTCTTCTCCTTTTTAATGTACCAGCAGGATCCCTTATCCTTGACAGAGGCTTTTCTTCTTCTTTGACTTCTTCTTTGATTGGGATATCTACTGGAGGAGATTCCTCAGTCGAAGGCTGTGATGAGACAGGTTCTTCTTTCACTTCTTCTTTTATATCAGGAGGTTTTACAGGTTCTTCTATTGTTTCAGATGGTACCTCCTTTTTTATTCGTGAAAGAACATCACTTAATGATTTTGTCTTTTTCCTAGTAACTCTTTCCACTTTCTTTTCTGGTTTCTTCTCTTCGACCACTGGAGGAGGAGGAGATTCTGACTTTGGTTCTTCTTTCACTTCGATTTTCTTTTCTTTATTAGGCCCTGATAACATTCTGAAGAAAGGAATTTTTCCAAATTCTGCCCTAAAACAACTGATAATGTATCTTGAGTCCTGGTCCCCATCATCGACTATGTCATCTGAGTCCCATGTTCTTTTACCATCTAAGATAAAAATATCATCCGTGTCTTGAGTTATAGTTACAGTATGACCTTTTCGACTTCGATAGGTGTAATCACCATTTTTCAAAAAAGTTACCCTATCCTCAGGAACAGGAGGAGATATTACAGCACCAAGATCTTCCGGCTTTACAGGTTGATCTTCAGATTTGATTTCTTGAGGTTCAAGCATGTCAGAAAGGGCACGTTTCATATGCTCAAGCAGTATGTCCATCAGACCAGGAAGGTGAGCGAGGCCGAAATAAGCAATTGTACTATCATCGAATAAAAGAATGTTCAAGACATCTAAAGCCCATGTAGTTTCTGCCAAAAGACCTGATTTTAATGCCATCATTATCCTCCAAGCTTCTAATGGTGCAACATCTGCCTTTGCTAACCTTCTTCTCTTATAAAGAACTGGAGTAGTAGCTTCAACACTATCCAATGGGAAAACCAGTTCCCTCTTCACTGGAGCACTACTTCCAGGGCCGAAACCAGGTCCCATGCCAGGAGCCTATAATAAAAAGAAATCAATAAATATTAAAAAAATAAAAACAAAAAAAAAACAATGTTTATTAACTTAATTAAATAACAATATATATTTTTTAATTCTTGAAAATAAAAACGTTAGACCAACATTGTACCTTGACTCCTGGGTGTGGTGGCATTTGACAATACTGTTTCGAGTCTGGTCTGAATCCTGGACGAGGAGCCATTGGTGGCCTAAGTGGTGAATTCTGATTGACTCCTGGAGTTCCCATTCCCCAACCTTGTTGAGCCTTAACAATAAATATTTTACTTAATATAGACTAAAATGGCTTCATAGTTTCTTAAAGGTAATATTGATTAATATGAAATCTACAGATATCTACACTATTTATACTACAGTAGTATGATGGATTTTGACAAATGAGGTGCGAGTCTGAAATTCCTATAACTTTAATTCATCAGAGGTTTTGAAACCCTGAGCTTAGTAAGTAAACCGATTGAGATGGAAATCAAAAATTTTTGATGCAGATGTCAAAACCTAGTCAAGTTCCTTTGGTTCATCATTAAAATATTGCTATTTAAAATTATAGTTTATGACAAAATAAAAATCTATTGAAAAGGTAATATAAGAAAAATAGTTCTGAGGTCTCTATGGCACTTTCGACAGTATAGATCACATATAAGAAACCTAAGGACATTGGCCGCATGTGACCTCGACATTTTGCAGAATATTAATTAATCTAGCATTACAATTAATATTATATTATTTAATTTACAAAATATTGAAAATTAATAAAATTAAGTTGAATATATGTATAATGGGTGTGTTTATTTATTGATAAATAAAAATCACAAAAGTAAAATATTAAAAATGTTCCCCCTGCGGTATAGACCAAGTTATTTATTTTTATTATTCTTATTCTCAATTTATATTCTTTATAAAAACTCCAATATTTTATATTTATTGTTTTTATTATTTAAAAAGTGAAAAAATTAGGATCCAATATTTGTATACCCGGTAAATAAAAACAAATAATTTATGCTCATAGAAATATTTTAACAATAATGCAATAAGTGCAATAATAATGAATTATTATACATGTATTTGATTATATTATATATGATTAAATATAAGGGATTTAAATAAGAATGAGCAATATGCCAACCTATAAACTGTTTAAAATTATGATTACAAGCTATTAATTCAAACAAATCATTTAATGAAATATTAAAACCACAAACATAAATAAGATTATATTAAACCACTAAAAATAGGTTATTCTTAAAACAAATCAACAGTAAAATTGTTTTAAGAGTTGTTATTAGTAATCACTATTCAGTTAAAATACAAATAATTTTTAGCTGTAGAATTTAATTTTACCATAAAGTTTAAATATAAAAATAAAATTAGAGGAAGGAAATAGTACGGGGTGGAGACTAAAATAGTGGAAAAACTACATATGAAAATATACATACTTATTAACAAGAGGTTAAAACCACATAAAAATATATGACAGTAAACAACTTCAGTAATGTTACACATTTAGAAATAGCTCGAATTTACTTAGCCTTTAAACACTTTCAATAATAAATTTTATATTTAAAACCGCTGATCAAGTATCGATATAATTACTTAAATTAAATCCATTTAAATTTCAAGTTCTACTGATATTTAACAAATTTAACTTGTTTATTTTAAGTAATATATTAAAATTTAGAAAATAACTATTCAACAATACATGAACAGCTGTTTTAATTATATTCATTGTTTCCATAAAATGTGGTGAATTAATTAACAGTATAAACTCTATAGTTTTTATAATAAATCATAAAGTTCATCAATATCACAAAGTAATAAAAAAAAAAAAAAAAAAAAAAAAATTAACAACAACCTGAGAAGGCTGGTATGGAGGTTGCCATTGAGGGCTGTTTGGCTGATGATTGGGAGGAGCACCAGGTCGCGAAGGGCCCTGGCCCCACTGCTGAGGTCCGGGACTGCCTCCGGGTGTAGGGTACTGCCCACGGAAGTTGTTGTTGCTGTTGTTTGACCAGCCTAAAAACAAAGAATAAGAAAATAAAATATATTTCTTATAGAATAGTAGTAAAAATAAACAAGAATGAGAACTATTATTAAGACATTTACAAATCATTAAAAGTAAGTTCACAATAAGAATTTAATCAACATCTTACCAATTATTCAATTAAATAACTGATTCATGCTTGTTAAAATTAAATGGCAAACTATAAGCTATGGTTGGAAAGAATTCATACCTGGATACATATTGGGTCTCTGTTGAGGATAAGGAGGGTACGGTGGCTGTGGAGCTGCGTCCTTAACAAAGTCAGGATGCCTCCTTGGCTGAGGAGCGGGAGGAGGCATAGTCTTAGCCCCACCAGCGCCGGGAGGATAGTAACCCTCCCTATAGAAGTCGCCTGAGTACTGGCCACCGGGAGGGGTTCCTCCAGACGGGCTAGCCCCACCGCCAGGTGGTGGATAACCTCTCGGGGGAGGGTAACCTCCACCGATTGGGTACCTATTGTAGTCCTGCTGCTGGGGCTGTTGCTGCTGTTGGGACTGAGGTTGCTGCTGACCTTGCTGAGGAGCCTGAGGACCAGGTCCTTGGCTACTGTTTCCACTTCCAGGGCCAGCTGGTGGTGGTACGGTACTGTTAGCACTTGTGCTGCTTTGGTTGTAACCCCTATCGAGGAAAAAGCAAAGAGTTCATATTGTAATTAGTTATTACATACTTTAGATTGATTACTTCAGATAGTAGATAAAAGTATATACTGCTGACCTGTCTCCTTCAGGCCCATAGGGTGGATACATGGGCCTATTGGGAGGGTACTGGGCGCCCGGATATTGCTGGCTGTATCCTTCTCCGTACTGGTAGCCGCTGCCCTGGCCCTGGTAGCCGGCGCCGCTTGGGGGCAAGCCTGGAAATTGACAAATCAAACATTAATAATTGGAACTTAGTCAAATCCAACATGACTGACAAATAACTCTGACAAAATAAGCAGGCACAATCAACAACTAACACAGAATGACCAACCACCAAAAAGAAACTTTTATTATTTTATAATAAATATCAAGAAACATTAAACAAATGTTTGATTAAACAGAGAAGTAACCACCAAGCTCAATACATCATACAGCTGCACCAACTACTTATTAACATTTAGAATAAAGTAGTGCTAACAAACCTAAGTTCTAAACATAGAATTAAAAAAAAAAAAGAAAAATTGATTTTTCAGAACACAGAGATGAAAACTAGTATAACAAACAATAAAGGAGAAAATGTGTATCAAGTGTAAAAGATGTTTCAATGTGAGACTATTTCGATAATGTTTAACAATAAATGTTTGGAGAATTCAGGGGAGAAATAACTATTAATAAAGGGGGATTAATTAAAGAAACAATTAAGCAGTTTGAGAGTAATGAGAGGGATGTATACTAAATAAATATTTATTAACTTCTAAGATAGCAGAAAACAAATAAAACTTATGAATTTCATGCCATAACAAGCTTAGGCTTTATTATTACTAATTATAACCATCGCCATGGTAAATTTTTTAATTAAATTTTCCTATTTCATTTGAAAAATGGACAAATTTTAATTAAGGAAAAATATAAAAACAAAACAGTGCAAAGTACGTAATTTGTTTTAAAAAATACAATATGTTAAAACAAGGAAACTTTTAAAAAATTTTAAGTATAAGAAGGATTCCATATAAATAACAGAAACATTACGAACAGAAAATAACCAAAATATTAAAACAGAATTCATGCCCGATGAAAACACATATAAAACGGCAAAATTTGTGGGAATGGATTGAGGAGAAGGAGGAGGTATTGGAGATAGCATGCAAGAATGTTACCTGGGCGGGGGGGACCTCCGCGGGAGCTGCTGGTAGCATTGTCATCAAAAGGATTCGATACACTAATGTTATCCTGACCAGCAACCATACCTAGCCATACCAACACTATCAGGGCTATCCACTATCTTTACATCACTTATTTGCTGACAATTGTCAGGTTTTAAATAAAAATGTAAAAGGAGTGAAAGGATATTGATAAAAATATCTAAATGTTAATATTAATACATAAATAAAATAATGTTTTATTATATTCTAATAAAATATTAATGTTGGATTAGCTTGCTGGTTACCACTCTACTCTCTAACACTCGGAAATAATAAACTTGCTACTTATAGTTTCAAATGATTATACAAAATAACAAACTTAGTAACAATTTCTTAAAACTATCAATTGATAAATAGTCAAATAGGATGACATTGTTGGCGGCTGATCGTAATAACTGGTAAAGAATCTAGGAGGAAACCCTGGCTCTTGGGGGCCTCAGTACTCCTTGTAAACAAAACACATCATTTTTATATGAAGACTTACGATTGTCCACCACAAGCAAAGGTTGAGAAACTCATATCAGTAGAGAAATATATGTACACGTTTTTGTGAGAAAAGAAATTGGTTTAAATTGAAAATAACTGTCCCAATCCTTCCATAATATATTACTTATCTCAATTACAGTTTTATCATAGCAATAAACTCACCTGACGATATGAACTAACAAGAAACCAGTCGTTAATAATATGGTATCAATTATACTGTTTGCTTAATTAATATTAAATTATTATTGTAAAATTATAAGTAATGAACATTTGGTTCAAGCTTTTGCAAATTTCAATACGAATAAAACAAAAACTAAAATCAGATCTGCTACTTTATGTTTATAACAGACATGCTACTTTACTTCTCATGATACTTGTGTAAGATAATGAGATAGATTTCAGGAACAACGAAAACCAAACAAATATAAGCAAGAAATAGGAGCCCATAACTGTAAAATAAAAATATATTCTTAATGAAGTGTACAAGAGCCAACACATAAAAGTGACATATTATAATCAATGTAATATGTTTTGGAGAGATTTATAATGTCTAGTCCACGAAAGAATAAACGAACACTTTAGATAAATGATTTTTTTTTTTAAATCAACAAATTGAAAAGATAAAAATAGTAACATCAACCTGTATTTTGTTTGTGAGTTTATTAGTAATAATGAATAAAATCACCAACCTGTAATTGTGAAAATCTTTCAATAAGAAGCGAGTTAAATGAACATATTATATGAAATTGTGTTAAAAGTTAAAACTTGATACTGCTAAGCGAACATTTTATATGCAAGCCGACGATTAATGACAATAACCATTAGATTACAACCGTATCTAATTCAAACTTCCCAATATTCTTTCGTATCTCAAATTAGTCCAGAATGCTCCTCATTGCTCGGAAATCAATACCTATCTTCCATTTTAGACACTTAATAGATAATTAGAGTAAATTAAACTGACCGATGATTTCACAATATTATGCTAAATAATATATTCACTTCCACTGTAATTCTTCGAAGATCAAAACTATATTAAAGTTGGTTAAAAAGTAGCATTAATATTTTTATAGGTAAAACAATTACAATTCATGAAGAACATGGTGCCAGTTAAGTTTACTACAGAAATTCTCTTCAAAATTAATTAAAACTTGTGCGATACAATGAAACCAATGGCTTCTCATTAGTGCTATTGTTGTGCAATCGGAAAACAAAGCAAGTATAGTTTTTAGAGTAAGCAGGTTAAAGTAGTCGACTCAGATTTAATAAGATTTTTTTTAATATTGTTTAATTACCTTGACTTGATTGGGAAGGAGGGCGTTGCTGCTGACTATTATAGTCCTGAGGGTATCCTCCGTAATTGGAATAGCCATCCATGCTAGTCCCGCCACTCCCAGGGCCTTGAAATGAATCTTGGGAGTTAGAAGAACCTAAATTAAAAAAGAGGTTAGCTTTAAATTTAAAACGGATGATAACAATAGAAGTTAACAACTTCAACTGCTGTACCTCAATTACGAAGTTTTTATTTATAATCCATACACTAATTTCTTTAATATTTATTAATTATAGTTAAAATTGGAATTATTTAAAAGAAAAAAATATCATGAATGGATTATACACCCACAAAATCTTTTTTGAATGAGGAAAACATATAGATGACACAAATATGCCTTGGGGCAGTACAAGGAAAAAGCAAAAAAAAAAAAAAAAAAAAAAAGGATGTATTATGTATATTGTATATTTGTTCAATAAAATCGTTGGAGGGTGAAAAAAAACAACACGATAAATTCTTTTTATGACATTAAATGAAACTATTTAAAAACAAGATGGTAAAAATTGATGATACCATATTATCAGATGTGTCTGTATTTGTTAATAGAACTAAGGCACAAAACTGATAAAAATAATTTTTTTATTTACTTATTTTAAAGAAAGTAAATCGTTCAAAGCATTGTTATCAAATAAATATAGTTCCAAGAAAACAGGTGAGTTTTTGAAATTAATGTGTAAAATAGAAGTAGCAGATTATTAAATGTCCTGGTTTGTAAAGATTACATATAAATGAAGATAATATGGTGAATATAAAAATAAGCCAGCTATCGATTACTACCAATATATCAGCTTTAAAACAAGTAGAATAAATTTAAAATGACAGAACCTGGAGAAGGCACGGGCGCGGTTCCTTTGGCTCCCTTCTTCTTCGATGTAGCCTCAACTTGGTTGATGATTGGTTGTGGATCTATCCCACCCCTATCGAAATGGCATTCGAAGGGGAGTAAGTTCTTAGTATAGTGTTTCCTCAGGGTGTACGCAGCGCTAGAAGACGCACCAATACCCAAGAGTCCTGCGATGTCCTTCCAAATCTTGTTCTTTGTAACCTATAAATAATGTCTAAGTTGAAATACAAATCCTCAATATCACTTTCTGACTTTCGGCTACATAGTGCAAAAATACTAAAAACATAAAGGCATTACAATTAATCTCACACAACAAAATTACTAAAAAGAAACAGAAACAAATAACATAAGTAAAAAAATAAATAACAAAATAAGAGTTCTAACATACAACACAAAAATTAACTCAAACACAATATTTATAGGATCACACATAATTGAATAGTGCAAGATAACTAAATAATTCTTATAGGGTACATACAAAATTAACAACACAACACACAGATCCTTTACAATAAATAAATTAATACAATACTACTGAATGTGAACAACTACGTTTCTAATATTCAATGAGTTAAATTGATAGCATATAAAGTAAACATTGTTGCCATAACTAACAAAACTAGGTATCGGCATTAACTTAGAAACTGCCAGTTAAGCATGAGAATAACAATATAAATTGCCAAGAGAGATCTTCATAACAAAGAAAATAATAATTATAAAAATTTACTAATTTTCTTGAAAATAATAAAATCTTTGGTAATTTGCTTTATTTTTCAGAACAATAACTTAATAATATTATAAAAAGTTATTTATTTGTTAATATTATTAGAGATAGTTGTGAACTTGGTCCCTCTCGCCTACAGACCCTCTTATTTCAAGTAAACTTAAAAATTGGTTTAGAAACCAGAAAAAGATAAGAACATTGTAACTTACTAACCACGATAAAGAAGTTATAATTTTTTAAACAGGCGAGTGGATTAAAATGAATTTGAACGTACAATTAAAATGGGTATATTTCAATAATTCAAAAAACTTTGATAATCAATAAGTAAATCATTTCATCACTGAATTATGAACTGGTAAATACTCATTTTAACATAGTCTAATAGGTAATAAACATGTAATAGGAAATGTGTAACAATTTTATAAAGAATATCCACTAAATATAAATATTAAAAAAAAAAAAAGTGCAGTAAACTGTAGTTCACGTTGTGAGGATGAGGATAAAAGCAAAGCAAGGATGAAGAATATTCCAAGCAAAAAGACCATTAACCAATATTAGAAAAACCTAATAAATTAACAGTTTTAAAAAAAGAAAATAAGCCAGATACTATCATATTTTGTAAACATATAGAATCAAAGCATTTTTTCCCAAAACCATTTTTCTTAAACACTTACTAAAATACCACAAGAATACAAGAAGAAACAATTAGATATATTATCAGTACAGAAGAAAATTCAGCATCTTATAGAACAACTTGGGATTTCATACATTATTTTGCCAATTATATTTATTGTACACATATCTTTTTTAAATAATTATTTTCAATCAATGAAAAGAAATGTCTTGGTGATTTTTTTTTTATTAGGTTGTAATAACTGAACTCAAAAATAGCCATAATATCAAATGATATTTATAAATTTGACTAAGAAATCAGAAGAACATTATGATAAGTGAAAGATCAAAAACCAGATATAGAATAAATTATGGCCACTTTTATATATTTACTTAACAGTTTTGATTAAACAAATTATGGTTCCTACCAGTAAGATAGAAAAACCAAACCGAACTCACCAATCTCATTCGCAATTATTGTTTTAAGGCATATGTTAATCTCCTGGAGTTCTAATGATTGACTCTGATGTAATATTAGATTAAATCTTGAATTTTTTTTTTTTTTTTACTGTGGTTACTTTACAATTTGTTGAAAAAATCTTTACAAATTTTGAACCTAGAAAAAATAACAAAATAAATAAAGCTATCTTTTTAAAAAATAGTCATTTATATTATAGTCAAGTTCCCAAGTATTCCATAAGATGCCACATTTTCATATTAAGTTTGTAACATATGAATTGAAGAAATTATGAATAGTAACTCAAAATATTTTAATTTCCATTAACAGCATTGAAAATTGGAAGAGATTAAAATATAAATATTAAAAAAAAAAAAAAGCATGCAAATAAATCCCTTAGCCAAATAAAATGGAAAAATTAATGAAATGATAAAAAGTTAATAAGAAGAAAGATATGGATAAAAAATAAACCGGGTACCATGTGGAACTACACTGCACCTTGCATACCTCCATGAAGCCCCCTCTATCTTTGACAAACAAGTAGAGCCTAAATAAGTCCAATGGATTCTTCGATATGGTCGGGCAGGCAGATATAGGTGTCCCTCGTTCCTCCATGAAATGTAGCAGTTTATCCAGCCACATCCTTCGGTCATGAGATTCATCCATTTCGTACAGCTTACCCAGGCTATCATGTTGCTTCTAAAACATTTAAATTATAACTTATATCTTACCCTTAAGGAAGAGATGTTCAGCCATTTACTTAGCAAATTAAATACAAAGTCGAAGAGGGGAAACAACATGAATATGAATCTATGACTAAAATGAAAACTTACTTTAATCAACTATACAACAAATCTTACAATGACAAATAAAAATTAGTCCATTACACCATTTAATGTGATTAATATATTGAGTTGATTTATAAATATATATATATATATATATTTTTTTTTTTTCAGTTATTAAGAGGTAAGAATGAATTATGCCAAGTTCTTATTGTAGAATATATATTTATAATCAATTACAACCATTGATATTTTTAAAATATCTTAATTTTAACTAAAGTATCTAACACACAATTTAATACTGTTCAATCAATTTAAGTTGAAGAAAATGCTTTTTTTTACTTACATATGAAATAAGATAGAGAACGATAAGAGAAAGTATTTTGAATCTGAGTTTTCAATGGAAATATTTATAGGTATTTTTTGGATAGAATTCGTATTATTTTCTGTATTATGAAAAAAAATTTAATAACTGAATTTTGTTCTCAGTATGAAATTATACCAAATAATATTTAATCACGACTAAAATACAATTTATAAGTATTGATAAGGAACAAGGAACATCAATGAAAATCAAAATATTAAAAACATTTAAGTTCATTCATTAATTCATTTATTTTTCATGTTTTCAGAAAGATATAATTATTTAGAATTCGTAAAATTGAAAAAATCAGATTCAATATTAAAATTAATAATTAAATAAAAGTCTATATAAAAAGATTTTTTTTTAGGTTTTCAATCATGAGCAATGGACCTTATGGACCTTTCAAAATACCCACCAACGAAGTTCACTGTTCTTTCATTTAAAATGTAAAATATAAATTATTTTAACCAATAACCTACGATATGCCAATATAATCGAGAAAAAAAAAATAGTAATAAAAACAATATAACAATGGTATTAACATGCTATTAACTAATTCTAATTATATAGTTAAAGTAAATACTGTTTAATAATAAAGTATTAATAAAAATGCGGTCTAGCAATATTTATAATTAATATCAATGCAAAAAATTGTAATAAACAGAACTTAATTAGTTTTAAAAAATACCCCACTTAATATAACATTATAAGACACAGCCATCCCTTATTTTATTATAGTACTGAAATCATGAAAATTAGTGTGGAGAAATGCTATGAATAGATAATTAATACTAAAAATAACCAATAAACTATAGTTAATTATTTTTTTATTAAATGAAAAAATTAAAATAAATAATTGCCCTTTCATACTCCTCAAGAAAAATGATGATAAAAAACCACTAAGCATAATAGGACAACTGCATTATATTGTTGATTCTTGATAAACTTAATTTTATTTAGATAATCTTGTTCAGCAGAGTGTACATTTAAGAGTAAATGTAAGCGATTTTTTAAGAAATATTTTTTCTTCATATCAAAGGAACAAATTATACTGAGATGAAAATAAAAATATTGTCATCATTTAGACCAGATCTAAAGCCTGTTCTACACCAATCGGATTTATAGTTACAAAAAATCAAGTGACACACAACTTTACAATTACTTCAAGAATTAAGAGTTGTTCTTATCGAAGAATATGAATATAATTCAGTAATCTATTAAAAAAATAAATAAATTATAAAGTGCAAGCCAGAT